TAGGGAGGGTTACTCCATTTGGACCATGTCCTCAACCTTCTTAGCCTCCCTTTCACAGATTGACCACCCATATTCTAACAGCAGGTTTGAGACCAATCCCTCGCCACTGGAGGACAACTGTTGTCCTGTCTCAGACAGACCTACTGGATACGGTTATGGAAATTAGGAAGATAGAATATCTGATGGATAATATTTGGGATAGACTGGAGATATCCTCTCAGATATGGGCACTGTGGGATCAGCCATCTTTTAGAGCTTTCTTTTGGTGGTATTTAATCACCACTGGGGTTTTTTTTTTATTTTCTGCTATATAAACAAAAAAAAATACTCAAAATTTTGAAAACAAAAAATCAATTATTCTTAATTTATGCTATAAAAATTTGCAAGCAAAACATCTTTCCTCTTAAATTTACCAAAGAGCTGTAACAGAATACATTTTGGTTTAAAGATACCCCAAATCAGTGTTTATTATTTAGTCTGTAGCAAAGCTATAGAGTCTACAAACTATTAGATATACAGTATATTTGAAAATTGATCTATCCTGCTTTACTGATGTCGGGTTTCAAATCTTGAGACCCTAAAATGTCAGGACAGTACAAATCCCCCCCAAATGTCAGGATAGTACAAATAACCCCAAATGTCAGGACTGAACAAATACCCCCCAAATGTCAGGACAGTACAAATACCCCCAAATGTCAGGACAGTACAAATACCCCCCAAATGTCAGGACGGAACAAATATCCCCCAAATGTCAGGACGGAACAAATATCCCCCAAATGTCAGGAGAGTACAAATCCCCCCAATTGTCAGGATGGAAAAATACCCCCCAAATGTCAGGACAGTACAAATACCCCCAAATGTCAGGACAGTACAGATATCCCCCAAATGTCAGGACGGTACAGATATCCCCCAAATGTCAGGAGAGTACAAATCCCCCCAAATGTCAGGACAGTACAAATACCCCAAATGTCAGGACAGTACAAATCCCCCCAAATGTCAGGACAGTACAAATACCCCCAAATGTCAGGACAGTACAAATACCCCCAAATGTTAGGAGAGTACAAATACCCCCAAATGTCAGGACAGTACAAATACCCCCAAATTACCCCTCTTTTGGAAAGTAGACAGTCTTAGGTATTGAATCATGTGATTGCTATGATTGGTCATAACGCTCACATGATACCCTGGCTCACAGCAGCTGGGTATTGAGCTCCGTGATCCACTGCGTCCATCAGATGGCAGATGAGTTCCTACTTACCATTCAAAGGGAAAATCCTGACTTACTGGGTCACATTACGTGGAATTACAAGAGTTTCTTTGTCCTTCCTAGATGTAGGGTTCATATCATACACATAATCTGCTTTCCATGGTGGTGGGTTGGAATGCACAGATGTATTTTTGAACATGGGCAGCACAGTGGCTAAGTGGTTAGCACTTCTGCCTGGCAGTACTAGGTCGCCGGTTCAAATCCCAACCACGGCACCAGCTGCCTGGAGTTTGCATGTTCTCCCTGTGCCTGCGTGGGTTTACATCCCTTTTTTCCCATGAATTGAGCTTTCTTTCAGTGGTATTTGATAGCCTGTATATTTTTTATTTTTGGCACTATAAAAAAAAAAAATATATCAACAATTTTGAGAAAACTATATTTTTGACTTTTTACTATTAAACATGTCCAGTAAAAAAAAATTAAAAATAAAATTTCATCATAAATTCATGCCAAAATGTATTCTGCTCCGTGTCTTTGCTAAAAAAAATCCCAATACGTATATATGAATTGGTTTACGTGAAAGTTATAGCGTCTACAAATGGCGGTATAGATACTAGGATTTTATTTTTAATTATTTTTACTAGTAATGGCGGCAATCATTGACAACATATAGTGAGACTGCGGCGGGCATTCTGACACTGGGGGAACTGTGACACCAAAACAGTGATCAGTGCTAAAAAAAAAACATTGACACTGTACTAATGGCACTGGGAAGGAAGGGGTAACATGAGGGGCGATCAAAGGGTTAGCAGTGTGTTGGGTGTTTTTTACTATGTGGGCTGTGTTTGTGCTTCACTGTAAGCACACTGCTTTGTATGGTTGTGCTGTGCTGTGTGCACGAGCTGACAGGGAGGAGAACTGTTTTGTTTGCACAGTTCTCCCCATCGGAGATCCTCGGCAAACACCGGGCGCAGGCAGGTAATCACCGGAACCTGGTGATTGACATCTGTGGCCGCGAATGGCGGTACGGGTAGGGCACACATGCCCCCTACCCGGAAATGCAAAATCACACATATATGTGATTTTGTACACCTGTTCCACCCTGTAGCAGAATTTCTGCTATAGGGCAGATGGGAAGTAGTTAAAATGACTTCCATTATGACTGACACTGATTATACATGTTACTTGTTATAAAAAAATAACAGGCTTTATGTATGGTTGATATGAGGCATAATCACTTGGGAGCACTTCCTATTTTTTGGGGGAGGTGTCCATGCTGTACGTAAGAAACATCTTAGTAAAAAGACAACTTTGAAGTAGATAGTTTTTGCCAAAAAAAAATTGATTTTTTTTTTTTTTGTGTAGCAGCAATAATTGATGTGTTGGAAGCAGTAGAGGCAATACAGCCAAAAACTAACAAAGTATACACTTTAAAACAAGAAAGCTAAAGCTATTAACATCATATAAATTGCCAAACAGGGGCAAAGAAAGTCACAGCACATAACTTGTTGGGATCTTCTAGTCAGTAGCACACTGTATTGTGTACAAACCACAAACCATAATCCTCAAACCCACATTGCAGAGATGATGCAGTTAACAAAAATGAGGAAAGAACAAGAAAAAAAAAAAAATGCCATGTTCAAGAGGCAAAAGCAAAAGTTTTAAAACACAGCTGGAGAGCATGCAAACAATTGGAATGAAGCCCAAGGCAGCAATGTAAGAGATTGAAATGTTTTCTTTTTTCTCTAGAAAAAAACAATTAGGGTAAAATATTACAAAGTATCCTTAAATATTGTCCATTAAGCAAGCATCTCTACTTGGACATTACGTCAGAAAGAATAGATGAGCATATTTTATTTCGATAAAACTAATTTCAGCTTATTATGTCACAGTCAAGAGCCAGAAATATTGTACAGACACGCTGCTGCACACCATGTAAGAGTTCTTACTAGGCTGCAATGCAAGACAAAGAGATTAGGTATGTTTGATCCTCCTACAATATAAATTAGAGTGTATAGCATACAAGTACCACCGCACACTGTTTCACCTCCAATGTGAAAGACAGACTTTTGCTTAAGTCCCTGCCCATCAGATATACAACTGGGTGCACAGCACAGCCTTGAAGAAATCTAAGACCCTCAAGAAGGCACAAAGTGAATGCCTCCCCTGGGCCCAAAGAGTCCAGGCGGGAAGATTTTGGACAAAACTCATCCAGAGTCAGGCCTGGGTACAGCAGTGTGTGATCCAACCGAAGCCCTGCAGAGTCTTTTTATAGGAGATCATCCATTTAAACAACACTGCTAAAAAAAAATGAAAGGAAGACTTTGAAAGCCCATCAAATCTCAATGGGGAAAAACCTCCTGAGGGATATCTATACGATATGGACTGGGTAATGTGTTAGGAATGTAAGGATGCCCCATCATTTGACGGAAATTAAAAAAAAACAACCTACAGAGGACTGAATTCAAAGACACCCCCAAAAATCAAAGTGGAATAATGATGCAACAGGCTAGTCCATTTCATTGCAGCAACTTAAAATGGTCCTCAGTAGTTGTATGGCCCCCATGTGCTTGTATGCATGCCTGACAACATCGGGGGAGGCTCCTAACGAGATGATGGATGGTGTCTTGGGGTATTTCCTCCCAGATCTGGACCAGGGCACCACTGAGCTCCTGGACAGTCTGAGGTGGCGTCGGATGGCCCGAAACATGATATCCCAGACGGGTTCTATTGGATTTAGGTCAGGCAAGTGTGGGGGGCCATTCAATGGTATCAATTCCTTCATCCTCCAGGAACTGCATGCATACTCTCACCACATGTGGCCGGACATTGTCGTGCACCAGGGGGAACCCAGGACCCACTGCACCAGCGTAGGGTCTGAAAAGGGGTCCAAGGATTTCATACCAATACCTATTGGAAGTCAGGGTGCCATTGTCTAGCCTGTAGAGCTCTGTGCATCCCAACCATGGATATGCCTCCCCCCAGATCATCACTGACCCACCACCAAAACGGTCATGCTGAATGATGTTTACAGGCAACATTCTCCATGGCTTCTCCAGACCCTTTCACGTATTTCACATGTGCTCAATGTGAACCTGTTCTCATCTGTGAAAAGCACAGAGTGCCAGTGGTGGACCTGCCAATTCTTGTGTTCAATGGCAAATGCCAATCGAGAACTATGGTGCCGAGCAGTGAGCACAAGGCTTACTAGAGGACGTCAGGCCCTAAGGCCACCCTCATGAAGTCTGTTTCTGATTATTTTTCCTGGTCAGACATTCACACCAGTGGCCTGCTGGAGGTCATTTTGTAGGGCTCTGGCAGTGCTCATCCTGTTCCTCCTTGCACAAAGGAGCAAATACCAGTCCTGCTGATGAGTTAAGGACTTTCCACAGCCCTGTCCAGCTCTCCTAGAAGAATGCCTGTCTCCTGGAATCTCCTCCATGCTCTTGAGACTGTGCTGGGGGACACAGCAAACCTGGCAATGGCACATATTGATGTGCCATCCTGGAGGAGTTGGACTGCCTGTGCAACTTCTGTAGGGTCCAGGTATGGCCTCATGCTTACCAGTAGTGACACTGGCCCAAGCCAAATGCAAAAACTAGTGGAAAAACAGTCAGAAAAGATGAGTAGGGAAAAAAAGTCAGTGGCCTCCACCTGTAAAACCCTTCCTGTTTTGGGGGGTCGTCTCATTGTTGCCCATTGTGGCAGTACGGTATCCTGCCATGGTGGAAATCATGATGGACACCCAGGATTTCTCAACTATACAGGTTGAGGGGGCTCCAGGCAGATCTCATAATGCAGAGGAAACTGGTTTATCAGTTTCCTCTTTGGTTGGTAAAGCCTGTTTTGGGACTGTAGCCTGGAGATTTCTTAGAGATTTGGGAGGGATGAAATCTCCAATCCTGGGCCCATATTTTGGGAGCAGCCAGCGTGCTGATTGCACAGGTGTGTGCAGGCCTTTTAGGGGAAGCCAGGCCATGATTCTGGGCTCCACCCCGGCAAACAGAGTCAGGAGGGCTCCAGCCTGGCAGACGGGAGGTCGCTGCCTTGGAGTCAGGTGGAAGCTCAGACTAGCTGTGTGCTAGTGCCATATTTTGGGAAGACTCTGCAGGACAGAGTTAAAACTGTGTGTACAAGCCAGGAAGCTGAATTTTGTTTTGCGTGATGGTGGATACCCCTGTGCGTGGGAAGCATTTGTGTTTCTGAACTTTTCCTTTAAATAAAATTGGGCAAAAAGGCCCTTAAAAAAGAAGCGGAGTTGCCGTGTGCTTTAACGAGAAGAGCTCTACCACTTGAAGCGAGTTCCCACATATGGTGGAGGATGCAGTGGGGCAGAATTGGAGATCCCTGCAAAAGTAAGTTCATCAGTTATATGAACTCGTGTTTCTGTGCAATGGACAGCACAATTTGTGTGTGCAGGTGAGGAGAACCTGCCTTAAAAAGACAGTACTTCATTTCTTTGTTGCTGGGACTGTGCAAAACAGTGTTGTGAAGTAGGTAGTGACTGTGAAGATGGGGTGGTCAAAGCAAATAAAAGAAGCAAGATTTGCTGAAATGAGAGACAGAGCCCTGTGGCTGGAGGGGTTGTTATCCCCAGAACGAGCCCCATCATGGATGAAAAAAGTTTGCCAAAGTGGGAAGTGCATGTGTTGTTGCTGCTGGCAACACTGGTTGAAAGGAGACCAGCTTATGAATGTGCAGAGTCCTAAGCTGGAAACAGGCTGCAATGTGGGGAGCCTGGACAAGACACTCTGGCAAAGAGCGATGCTTGCGGTGCAGGGAGTGGGGGCACACTGTCTCTAAATGCCCTTTGTGTCAGCCTCCATTTGCAAAGTTGCATAGCAAAGGACTGCATCTGTGTTAGGGCAAGCCGGCTCTGAGTGCAAGGAAGGAGCGACAGCCTGACCACAAGTTTGAGAAGAATGTGTGTTGCCCATAGCAACACCTGTGACTTCAGGCCTGCGGACCCTGTAAGAGGAGTGTCGTCTGCAGAGGATTGTGGCAACGCAGAAATGAGAGTTCAGCGCATCTGGAGGAACCCACAAAGTTCAGCTGGGAGAGTGCCATCTCCCATAGCAACAGGAGAAAGCCTGCCAACCAGGAGAAGGGGCTACAAGGGAGATGTGGTTCCCGGTGCGTGTCCCAAGAAGGTTATCTGTGGAACCATACCCTGCCTGGAATGTGGTCAGTTTGGGCATGGTATCTTTTCCTGCCCAGATTATGGAATACCACTGATGAGGGTGCTACTGAGCAAAAAGTTTTCATTTGCAAGCCAGAGATTCATTTTTTTTTTTTTTTTTTTCAAAAATGTTGGCACGCTACCCCTAGCAAACAGGGATATGGTTGTTTACCTGCAGGGGGTGTAAGTTGGTCCGGAATGGCTGCAGTGTTGCAACCCCGTGACCACTTGGGGAAGTCAGCCTGTGGAGACACCACAGAGGAGAGACTACGTACTCAAGTGAAGGCTATGACACCTGCTTCAGGAAATGGTAAGACTGTTTTCAGTTTGTGGGACTGATTTCAAGGAAGTGAGAGTGTGTCCTTCAGGGAGTTCCACAATACAGATGGACATGGACTGGCTGCTGTGTGCTACCCTGAGTAGTGGGGAGGCACAAGGAACAGCCAACGATTAGGACTAAATATGAAAAAGGACATGGGGACTCTGCATGTACCTGCTATAATCCAGCAGATGGCTGGTGAAGTTTAAACTAGGGGTGACCAAAACTGTCATGGCAACCGTGTTCCTAGTGATAGGTGCTGCAGAGATGCCCAGGGAAAACCTCCCAGGAGCCCGCAGTGACGGAGCAGAGGATTTCCCAGGTCAGCTATGGAGCTGCTGAAAATAGTGCCCCTTTAAAGAGAGAGAGTGCTGTGAAGCATGGCTTACAGGCTGCTCAGCTGGGTAATAGCCAGGGATTACCTGCAAAAACCACAGTCATGTCTATATGCAATGAGAATGCTGATGGTCATGCCGACAAAAGTGTTTACTGTTAAATGTAATGTTATGGTTGGTGATGGGCTAGTACAGCTCACTAAGGATAACAGTGTTGATGTGAATATGATTGAAGTTATGTTGTTGCCCTTGGCAACAGTATCCAAGGCTGCAAAGGTGTCCATGGAAACCTCCTGGGAGCTCTGTGTGTTGGAGCCAGAGGTTGCCTTGGACAACTATGGTGCTGCTCTGGACAAGAGAATACTTGATAATTTAAATGCTAAAACTGGAATTTTTTGAAAATGCTCCTGGTGATAATGGGTTAATGGAGTCTGTCAGTGCTGACAATAGGTATGGAAGTGTTCATGAGGTGAATGAAGCGCCATCAGAGCATGGTGGTGAGGGTGTGGTATTGCAACCTGTTGAGGTTAAAAATTTAGTGCCACAGTTTTTGGTTGAACAAAAGTGATATATGTGATGTGTCTGCTGAGCCACTCTGTCCTGTGTCTCCTCCTGCAGTTGGAGTACTGCGTTAGTACCTCTGATTGGAGCGCAGAGAAAGTAGACTGGGACAGATGGGCAGAAAACCTGTTGGCTTTGTTAAAAGGGACCTCTGCTTCAACAGTGGAGTGGACATGACTTCTGCTGTGCTAAATGGAGGGCCTGCAGAGCAGCTTCTAGACAAGGGCGCACTTGCTGTTGCTGCAGATGATCTCCCTCCCAATATGGACGGGCCAAGTGAGATTGAGCGCATAGCAGAGATCGTGCCCACAAACCACAAAGGATCCAATGGGTGTGAGAATGAATAGTGTGATCCCAAATGAGCCAGTGTTGGTGGAAGTGTCAGATGGCACAAATCAAGTGATTGGGGTCAGTAAACCCAAATGTAGAATTATGTTATGACGGTCGAGTGTCAGGACAGTTGCTGGAAGAGGTTCATGTGCCAGTGGAGCTGGTGGATAGTGACGTTGCCATGGGAGACAACCACTCCACGCTGTGACTTGGTTTCCAGACACTGCCCTGCCAAACATTGAAATGAGTTCTGACAAAGGTGTGGATGTTTCTGACCATGAGGAAAAATGCAAGGCCCTTGTAAATGTTGTTTATGATGAGGAAAAGTGCGATGCATTGGTAAATGGTAAATATGATGATTTGGAAAAGTGTGAGGCACTGGTAAATGTAGATCAGTTAGTTTCTGTGGGTGACCATAAGCCTATGATGCACCTGAAGGTCATGAGGACATGCGTGCTGATAACCCTGAAACATGTGATGTGGGTAATGATGTGGTAGACACAGCTGAACTAAAAGCTGCAGCTGAATTAGGCCCCCCTACAGGTTCAGGAGGGTGCTCTGGGAAGAGAAACTTTAAATGGCTTATCTGCCCAGAGGGAAAACTTTAAGGAAGTGGATAATTTAAAGAGGTCCCCTGACATAAAAACCTCTGAAGGCCAAGGCAATTGGGCTGTCCTTCAGAAGGAGAGTAGGACATTGCTGTCGTCTGAGAATGTCAGTGACAAAAGGAAGAATGCAGTGTACGGGGGGAAACAAGCAGAGTTAAGTTTGGTCAGTAAGAAGATGCATGTACATAGAATGCAGAGAGGGACTAAGGGAACCCCAATAAAAGAGCCCACACTTTTTGTGTTTAAAAGCGTGACCCCTTCAAAGGTAAAGGGAAACTGGCAGTTGAGAGTGCAGCGTAGCTTTCATGTTATCCGACACCTAAAGCTCAGGCGTCAACCTCAGCCAGGGTCCTAAGTTTTGGAAGGTCCTTAATGGGAAGGTGACTTGGGTGGCCCCAAAGAAAATAGAGAGGCAACGCTTTTGAAGCGAACCCGTAAAAAGGCTCAGTGTCTTTATAGAGCCCAAGTCCGTGTACTAGAACACAGGGAAAGTCGCCTCATAAGACAGGAAGGAAAGTTTCCCTTGAAAGCAAGGTCAGTCAGGAATGGGCTCATATGGGTAAAGGCTGGCACAGAGGTGCCAAATTAAAGAGTTTGAGATTGTGTGTTCTGCCCTTTACGGGATCAAAACAAAGGGGGGGGGATATGTGGCAGTACGGTATCCTGCCACGGTGGAAATCATGATGGACACCCAGGATTCTCAACTATTACAGGTTGAGGGGCTCCAGGCAGATCTCATAATGCAGAGGAAACTGGTTTATCAGTTTCCTCTTTGGTTGGTAAAGCCTGTTTTGGGACCTGTAGCCTGGAGATTTCTTAGAGATTTGGGAGGGGATGAAATCTCCAATCCTGGGCCCATATTTTGGGAGCAGCCAGCGTGCTGATTGCACAGGTGTGTGCAGGCCTTTTAGGGGAAGCCAGGCCATGATTCTGGGCTCCACCCCGGCAACAGAGTCAGGAGGGCTCCAGCCTGGCAGACGGGAGGTCGCTGCCTTGGAGTCAGGTGGAAGCCAGACTAGCTGTGTGCTAGTGCCATATTTTGGGAAGACTCTGCAGGAGACAGAGTTAAAACTGTGTACAAGCCAGGAAGCTGAATTTTGTTTTGTGTGATGGTGGATACCCTGCGTGGGAAGCATTTGTGTTTCTGAAACTTTTCCTTTAAATAAAATTGGGCAAAAAGGCCCTTAAAAAAGAAGCGAGTTGCCGTGTGCTTTAACGAGAAGAGCTCTACCACTTGAAGCGAGTTCACATACCATCTAGTGCACCTGTTATTAATTTCATTAACACCAAAGCAGCTGAAACTGATTAACACCCTCCACTACTTACCTGACCAGATCAATATCCCAGTATGTCATTGACTTAGTGCTAGACTCGGATTACAAAGTCTGCCTTTCAATTTTTGAGGAGTGTATATCATGAATCCTCTGAGCACAAAGCAGAGATGAGCGCCTTGGTGAAACCATGGGGAGCAGTGGAGAAGCAAAAGGGGAGGGTGAAAAATTGGTAAGGCTCTGGAAAACACAGATACCGCTGATGAGGTGGAAAGTTTGTAATCTGGAAGAAAGTCACCTGGATGTCTATTGAGGTCAGAAAATCCCACCGAAGGAGGGAGGCAATCACCAAATCACCAACCTGGCAGCTTCCATTTGGAACTTTTATACCTGTAGAGTGTTCAGGTCGAGGAGTCAGACACCTCCATTAGCAATCTGCTTCAGGGGGGTCAACGTTTCCCAAAGACATTAAATACAGGCTGTAAGTGCTTTGCGTTTGCCTGCACTTGATTACATGGTAACATGAACATGATTTTTTGTACTGCTATAAAAAAATGCATATCCAATAAGAATTAACAAAAAAAGTCTAATTTCTTCATAAATTTTCTCCAAAATGTATTCTTCTACATGCCTTTGGTAAAAAAAATACAAAAATCCCAATAAGTGTATATTAATTGGTTTGTGTGAAAGGTATTGTTCTGTCAGTGTCTACAGATTATGGGATATATAATGGAATTTTTATTTTTATACTACTATTCGCGGTGATCAGCGATGATATGGTTTGTATAATAAAAAATAAAAAGTGGTGATCAGAAGAATTCTCTATTTGTCTGAAAAAAATTATATACATTTTGTTTGGGTACAGTGTCGCATGATCGCAAAATTGCCAGTTAAAGTAGCAGTATAAATGCCCTGGTCATGAGGGGGTAAAATCAAGCGGTTAATTCGCTGTCTTTTTTGTTTCTGTTCCAGTAATACATTCTTTGCAGTAAAAATAACAGTAACAACAACCTAAACGTCTCTAAATAAGTGTCCATGCATAGATATACTCCATAGTTATTTGTCTCCACAGATCTATAAAGATGCTTCTTAGGACACCTCGTGCAATTTATTACTTGCAGCCAATGTGTATACACCTCCAGCGGATGTGCTCTCACCTGGCGTATGTGACCAAACCGCTAAGTGAGGTCATATATAGCATGTGTCCCTTTTGTGGACTGTTGTGGGATGGCCAAGACGTCCATTAAGGCGGAGTCTCCTCCACTGTCCTAGCTGTCCTCCTCCCATCAGATCAATGCCAAAAGAGATGACCAAAACATAGTGCTTTATCCTTACAAAACATTTATTGTATAATAGAATCCAGTATTCCACTCATGTAAGAAGTGTATGATCGCTCTGTGCAAAGTATCTCCCAAAGAGTACTGCTATTGATATGGAACTCCACAGCCAGCTGTACTGCTCTGTCCTTTCCTCCGAGCGTCATGACGTCAAAGCCCCTCCGCTATGCGTTACGCCACAGGGTCACATGGCTTCATCAGGGGGAATAATTGGATGGCACAGTGCTCATCCTGTATATATATAATCTACCTGGGCACCATTTTGTTGTAGCCTGAGTGTACATTGCCATATATCCTTGGTCCGCTACCTTATTTTTGGATGCCGCTATGAATCCTATATATCAAAATCTAATTTTAAACACAGATTCCAAACCTTTATGAGTTATGCCTTCCAGTGAGATGTAACCTATATTACTACCTTAACCTCTTCACGCCGGGCCGACCGTAAATGTGCGGCCTCCCAGCGTCTGGGCCTAGACGCCGAGCGGGCCGCACATTTGCGTTCTATTAAAAAGAACATATGTGCTGAGAGCGCGCACCCCTGTATGCTCCCAGCACATATGTCCGGTACTCACGGAAAGGTCCCGATCTCCTCTTTCGATCGGGACCTTTCCCGGTCATGTGACTGTCGTGACGGCGTGTCACAGCAGTCACATGACCCTAAACCCCACCCCGCCTCCCAGCTTCTGAAACCCTTAACTACTTCCTGTCCGGACACTTTTACCACCTTCCTGTGCAGGGCAATTTTCAGCTTTCAGCACTATCACACACTTAGAATGACAATTGCGCGGTCATGCAACGCTGTACCCATATGAATTTTTTAGCATTTTTTTGAGACAGATAAAGCTTTAATTTGGTGGTATTTATTCACCACTGAGATTTTTATATTTTTTGCTATGTAAATGAAAGTCCAAAAATTTTGAAAAAAAGTTTTTTCTTATAAAATTTTGCAAATAAATATACTTTCATCATAAATCTTGGCCAAAATTTATTCCGTTATCTTTTTAGTAAAAAAAAAAAAAATTAAGCCAAATTAGTTAATAACCAAAAATTTTTAACTTTTTTTTTTACATTTTTTATTTTTTTTTATATTATTATTTATGTTTCTTTTTTTTTTACATACTGTCACACTAGCAGTACAATGTCACCATGGTGACACTGCACTACTTGTGGGGGGTGATGATTTTTTTTTTTTTTTATAGTGATTGCTTTTACACCCATATAGGATGTAAAAACAATCATTTCTCCTTCTCTCTGGCTGCATTCTTGCAGCCATTGATAAATACTGTGTGAGCTGTGATTGGTCACAGCTTGTCACATGGTACAAGACTGTTGTGAATAGCCCAGTACCATGTGATCTCTGTGATCATTCACAGATTTCACACATAGTAAGCAATGATGTCAAGTGACATCTTGCTTACTACTTTGCATGTGATCACTGATTGGCCAATCAGTGATCACAGGATCGGGACCTCCTACAGAGGTCCCGTCCGACGATTGGTGTTTCACTGTGTCCGGAGGACACAGCGGGCACTGTATCACGGTGCTGCGCGCTCCCAGGGAGAGCGCACAGCTAGAAATGGTGGGTGCCGTTTATGAATGGCAACCCGCCCCTGGAGTACCACCGTCCGGCCATTTATAAACAGCAGACGGACGGCAAGTGTTTAAAGGGCCGGGAGGGGTTAAGTGGATCCTATTGTTTAAACTAGGCATCAAATACCTGTATAATACCTCTCCCTATGTGCACAGCATGGTATCTACTACTGCACAAGCTTTACTCCATTCTAATAAAACAATGTCATAATATGCATCCAATAGGTTATGTACAATGGTTATATACAATGGTTATGTACAATGGTTATGTACAATGGGTTATGTACAGAGATGAGCTAATTTTTCAAAAATTCGATTCGCCTGATTCGCCGAATTTTCCGAAAAAATTTGATGTGAATTTTACTTATAAAAAGGGTTTCTAGGCTTCAGAGAGCCTTTATATTAGTGCAGAACACTGTACCTTTAATTTAAAATGCCCTTGGAGTCTGCTGGGGAAGAGAAATAATACTGTCAGTCAGTATGACATGCAGATGAGTGCCGTCGATCTTAGAATCACCGCACACTTCACTCATTTGGGCAGTCACGGGGCCTGAGAAGAAGAATGAAAAGAAGAATAATTCCAGTAAAGCAAAAAGTGTATGTGCAGAGTTCCTCTATTTCTGACATTTCTCTGACAGTTCTTTCACATTTACAGCGATTGAAACATTGTATCTATTTTGTTTCCTAATAAAAAATCTGTATCCTAAATGGAAACAAATACATACAATGTTTCAACCGCTGGAAATGTGAAAGAACTGTCAGACAGCTGTCAGAAATAGCGGAGCTCTCTGCAGGGACATTTTTTGCCGG